CCCCAAAACCCCAAAACCCCAAAACCCCAAAACCCCGTTTTTGGAACTAATTGTTGAAATAATTATAGATTAGCACCCAGCAGGGAATGCGAGAAAGAGCTTGAGTTAGAAAGGACCTAATTTCTGCAAGTTTATCAGCTGAGGATCCTTCTTTAGATTAGATAGTGACAGAATTATATGTCTATTAAGCTTATGCTCTTCTAGTGACATTAGTTCACTATTTGAGTTACATTTACCTCCTTTTTGGTCTCTTGTAACTCCCACTAAGCTAACCTCTCTTTGCACTTTCCTTCTGACCTCCTCTTGTCTTTGCCTAAACTTGATTTGTTTGGCTTACTTGAGACTTTTCCTTCTTTCTTTTTCTTCCTTATCCAACACCTAAGCACCAATCAGCAAATCTGACTTACCTTGCTGTATTCCTTTAGGGCTAATAAATCTCTGTGCTTCTCCAGCTCCTTTTCCTAGTATAATGAGAGGGCAATCTACCTTCTTATGCTGAAGAGAGATCAACCTGTTCTCCTCATGCGTGGCTTGGAGCTTCTTCGTCAATTCTACAGGTCATGAAAGTTTCTTACGAAGCTTTGCGTTTAAAATATCAATCTCTGACTTTTGCAGCTCCTTTTGATGTAGCTAGAAGGTGAGAATAAAAGAGTACCTTGAGCTCAAGGGCTTTCTCACGATTCTTTTCAGATGCCTCGTGCATTTTATTTAGACTTGAACACTCTTAATTGTTTCTCTATCATCTTTCTCTCAAGTGCCATTCTAAGTCGATCAAGATGGTGGTGGTTACTTTTCACGTAGTAATTTAGCCTCGTCTTCCTCCTCCATTCTAGCTTTCTCCGCTAAGAATTCTACATTTCTAGAATTGTTTAGTTACGATTTACTTATTTTTCCAAAATTTTAAGTGAATTTACTTCCTTGAGCCTATCTTTCTTCGCCTTGATCTGATTATTTAGCCTAAAGATGTTGGAAGATTATACATTTTATTTCAAATTCTCAATTTTGCTGCGCTTCAGCTCCTTCTCTCGATCACGCATGAGCTGACTGACTAGAGTGTTGTACTCAGTAACCTTGTCCCATGAGTTTTGGCATCTACAGAATTAGAGTTTCTCTTACTGATTGGAATCAAACCAGAATTCATGAGAAATAGATCCCTTTCCATCTAAATTTTTCAGTGGAGATGTTGAGCTAGGGAGTGACACTAAGGGCTTACTTGTGGTACAACTTCTGTTGCGACCCATTTCTTGGCTTTCCTAGATTCAGATTGTTCTTATTTTCTCTCGTCTCTGCTTTTCTTCAAGAAATTAAGATCAAGACGTGATTTATGCTCAAGAGAATCTAACTTCACAGTTGAATTTGTCGGAATCAATTTCTTTATGTTTTTATTTCCACGATTATTGATAGTGCTATTTTTCGAAAATCGCTTTTGTAAGTTAGCAGTTGAAAGATTAGTCGGTCTTTTCAGTTGCTTTTCAATCATAATATCCTTCATTTCAACTCTCTTGATTGGTCCAAGCTTTTCTCTACAGAAAGAAGTAAGCCCATTCATCTGATATCTCCTTTGTGAATCTCTCTCGATTGTTTTTCCTAGGCCAAGAGCACTATTTATGTGTCTGGTAGGGAGATACTAATCCTTTACCTTTAACAAACCTGTGGTTTGAGTAACTCCCAGTTAGGACTTTCGGGCTATGCTGATAACTCTTAGGCTGAAAGGTATCACACATTCCTAGTGGCAGGTTTCTCGTCTTCTTCCTCATATTTATTCTATAATAACTAGGCTGACTTACAAGTCTCCATATGTACTGGAGGTGCTTCTCTCTATCATTTTCTGAATAAATTTAATTCAATTTTATCTTCTAATAATGGGGTTTTGGGGTTTTGGGGTTTTGGGGTTTTGGGGTTGGGG